TTTAGTCCAACACAGAAAATTATCATTTGTATTAATATTTATCTGGATCTTTTGCCGCTCACAATAATCGGCCTCTCAGTTTTTCATTTAACAAAAATTCAATCATGATGTTTCACTCTGTTTTTATAGCATCGAATTAAAACTCATCCTGAAAACTTAATGTCCCATCCACTGACATGAAGGAGGCAGGGTTCAAGACCTATACTCTAGCGAGCCACCAGGGGGTGACCTAGGTGATTTGGCTTCACTGTGGGGGAGCTGTCATGTCGTCCATCTTTACTCACTGTGTGTTTGATGCTGTGTGGCTCCAGGTGTCAGAGCTCAGGAGACGACCTCTGCAGAATGTGCACAAACAGGAAGTGCTAACGACCATAACGCTTCAATGTGAAAACCATTCTGCTCCAGTTTATCACGTTTTTACGTCCAACGTCTAAAATTATTGGTCATTTGAAATCAGCTCGAGAGGTTGTGTGTGTGTGTGTGTGTGTGTGTGTGTGTGTGTGTGTGTGTGTGTTAGCCTTGTGTCAGATGGAGCCGGACAAATGTTTGGACCAAACTGATGGTTTTCACTGCACAGTGACCAAGACACTGAAAGAGAGGCGTGATATTTAATAAGAGATACAAACACACACACACACACACACACAGACACACACTCGTCCCAAACAAAACACACAGGAGATTCGTAACAGAAACAGATGGAAGACAGCGAATACACAACCACACACTCTTCATGACACTTTAGCTCTCCCCTCGGAGATGATGACTGACCCAGGCAGAGTACAGGTTGTGTGTGTGTGTGTGTGTGTGTGTGTGTGTGTGTGTGTGTGTGTGTGTGTGTGTGTGTGTGTGTGTGTGTCTGTGTCTGTGTGGTTCAACTGTCAAAGCTCATGTTGAAAACAGCTCAGCAGCTTCTGGCTTTTCCTCGTAATTGGTTGATTTGCAACCACGTCTGCGGCCGCCTGGATTTTTGACAAACAGCAAACACACATTTTCACAAATTCAACGCGCGTGCACGCTCCTGTGCCGCACACACGTCAATGGATGGACACACGAACACACACACAATCAATCACGCACATGCAGATTCACAGATGCCCTCTTGACTCACAGAGACACACACACGCACGCACGCACGCAGCAGTGCAAAGCTTCAGCACATCCAACCCGTCCTCATTAATACACACTCGACTGACAGCTCGCTGTTGCCATGGCGACCCCCTACCTGTTGCCAAAGGGAGCTGGGGGGGGGGGKGGGGTTAGGGGCTTGTGAACACAGCTCAAAACTATCTCAGATCAATTTCGCCGAGCGTCTCGGAGCCGCCGGTGCTGCTGCAGGCACAATTACCCACTTGGGAACCCGAGAACAGTTTCATCCAGTTCGACGCGATTGAATCGGGCCACACTTCGGTGCAGAGCGACGCCCCGGTCGATACATTCTCTGATGACAGACGCCAAATTCTCCACAGGAGTAAAACAGGCCTCCTTCATCAGGTGACGCTCGGAGCTAATTCAGTCTCCTCTGTTCCAGGTTGTTCACTCCAGTCGGACGAGATGAAACCAAGTCGAGGAAATTGCTTTTCTTAATTCGTCATTGCAGCTGCTTTCTAATTAAATCACTGCATATTCTATTCTTGCCGTGCGATTCTTCAATCCCATAGCATTCTATCTTATATTCTTAACAGAGGCTCAATACACTGCTGGAAAATGGCTCTGTGGACTAATGTGTCATAGCAGCAGAGTCTGTAATTAACTGTTACAGGGAGTTCACAAAGTATGAAGACGCTTTATGGAAAATTAAAGATGCATGAAATGCTCCAAATCAAACAGAGCCTAATGAAAATGTGTCTCTTATTTTACTCACTCATACAGCTTGAAGCGATTTGCAGATATGTGTTGTACAACTACAGCTTAGGATAATTTCCATGAAGCTTCATTGTCGGGAAAATTCAATTTTCGCAGCACGAAAAGGGAAAGAAGAAGAAAAGAATCAGTAAATAAGATAAAGAAAATAAGTATTATTTATAATAATATACAACTCTGACAGTGTGGTAGCATTATGTCTTATCTTATACTATATATTGACCAGTTGCTGTATTCTACTTTTATATTCCTGTATTTTCAGTGTATCTTCGGCTTCACATGATAAGAGCAAGAAACCTGGTAAATAAATGTTAGATTAACATTTTAGGGCCGGTCATTCCATCTTTACTTCTAAGAACTAAATTAAATTTCTAACTTTGAGGATCCAAAGATCAACAAATTACACGTGACAGACATTTTCAGCATTTATACACCAACTTGCAGTTTGATGCCATTTTGCATCATGTTGCTGCCACTTACTGAAACAGATGAGAATCATCAACACACACTCGCTGTGTATTCAGCGTTGATCCTTAATCTCTTCCTCCTACTGATGATGGTTCGAAAATAAAACCGACACCGGTGTTATTGTTTCAAGTGTTTATGCTCTCACACTTTTAATGTTGTTTTCTTCTGCCTGAATCAAATTTCACGTCGCCTGTTTGCAGTAAATCACACAGCAGCAGAGGAATTAGAGCCAAGGTTATTTGGTCATTACAACAACAGAAGAAGATAAAGGAGAGTAATCATCACGAGCGCTCGAAACAGATTCAAACAATAACAACAGCCCACAACCTACAATGTAAACTAACAGACTCTGGGTGTCTTGATTATTCATGATGGATCTCATCAGGTTTTTTGTTATTCGATTATCAGGCCTGGAACAAAACCAGACTTTTCTCATCATAAAGCCGAGATTCGACATCTAGAGCTGAAATCCATGTGACATAAAACAGTGAAGAAAACTGATTCTATTCACAAGACTCGCCAAAGACAACAGCTCGTGTGTCGTTGTGGGTCGTTTACGGTGCAGCCACCTCTGCACGCTAACACCCACAAAATCACAACATCTGGGAGACCAGGTCCTGACGGGCGACGGACAAAAATGTTGAAGTACGATTCGGGTTTGTTCACGTAGGCTCGTTTTTTTTTAAATCATGCATGTGTCTGTAATAGGGGGAAATATCAGGGTCGGGTTGAGTTTGGACACAAAACACAGAAAATTGACGATAAGGTGCTGCTGGGAGAAAAAACTAAAACTGTTGCAGCTGTACGCAGGCTCCTCTGAATGTTACGGACATTCTCCCGTTGTTCCACATTCACAGTTTGCACAGTTCATGTCTGAAAACATCTCACGTCAACAAAGCGTCCTTCATTATCACACACAGAGAGAGAACCATTAAAACACACAGTACAAGGCCGCACAGGCTGATGTGGCTGTTAAAGTCACAGCGAGGGCTGTCAGCAGAATGATAAGATGGTAGAGAACAGGCATGAGTGTGTGTGTGTGTGTGTGTCTGTGTGTCCTTCAGTGGTTCATTAATACTGAACACACCATCCTGCGGTGACCTCCGCCACTTAACCCCCTCCTCGCTAAAAACCTGTTGTAAGACAGATGGAGGAAACATTGCAGTTCCACTCCGACGGATGAAGACAGCTCCTCATACACTTAACCTCAACAGAAGAAGTTGTATAACATCAGAGACAGTTTGAGTTACGTGACGCAAAATCTGTTGAGTGTCGAAGATGATAAATCAAAAACTGAGAGTTCTTTAAATCAGCGTGTTGACGTCTGTGCGTTGTGAAGAGGTCGTTGTGTCGTGTTGAGCTTCAGATCTGGTTTGTCAGCTCACATCCTACATTAAAAGCTGCAGTTAAAGAAAACATGAAAACATTCTGCATCTGCATATCGAGTTTACTCGTATTTAGTTTACTTAGAACAACTTGTATGGATTTTTTGGGAGCCAATGACAATACTGATATTAAGGGGTATGTAGTTACAGATTAATATTTTACATGTTCACCATAAAAAGAAAAAACAAACGACATAAGTCTAACTTGAAGTTCTGCAGCGTAAACACACACACCAATACTGAGATGTCGGCAGATCTTATTGGTCTTATCGATAAATCAGTCTCGCTCCACAGAAGATAAAGAAGATAGAACCATCAACCATTTTGATAACTGGTTGCGAACTTTATCCGAACTTTGTGTTTGGCATATGAAGAAGCGTCTCTATCCCAAGTTAAAGCCTCTTTGTTAAAAACTCGAGAGCAACACAGACGTTAGACAAACAAAACCAACAGCCAATGAGCCGGGGCGGCTGACGACCGACCCCGTTTACGCAACAGCGCCTCAGGTCTATTCAACTTCTACTCACTTTCCTGATCCGTATTTTCTTTCTTAAATCCTGATATTGTGAAAAAAAACAACTTCTGACTTCGTAATATAACCTGAGCATCAACAAAATCATGTCCACAGTGCGGAGGGAGCCGTCGGCTCTGGCAGCGTTCTACATGTCACGTTAAATAGAACCACATGTGCTTCATGTGACTAATGTTATTTAATATATCAACATTATATCATTTCTCCCTCCGTGGTTTGTGTGTCGTTGGGGATTTATGGTGGAAATTCCTCACTTTTTAACCTCTCGGCTGAGCGGGAGTGATAGAACTGGGTCGGGCTCTGGACTGGATCTAGGCCACTCGGATCTGCTCTGACAGAGCTGATGAGTAGAGTGAGAACGAGCCCGGCTGTAAATCTCTGGACAGTTGAAGGTATCAGGTGTTCGCTTCATGTCAGCACATAAAGTACAGGAGATGGATAAAGTGTGCATCAGGTTTTCTAACAATGTCGTCAAAATGACAGGAAGCACAGAAAAGAGTTTGCAGGTTTATCTTAACTGCAACGTCTGGTGGGTTCCAGGAAATGGTTATTTTATCCTTTTTTTTTTTTGCTCTTATCTTCCACCACATTGTGTCATCCTCCTTTATTGGCCCTATAAATAAAATCTCGTGTTTTAAACCATTTTCTGAATATATGAAGTGTGGGACAGTGTCTTTCTTTTTCATCTTGAAGTATTTCAGACACAAGGCTCCATGCATTCCTTAACAATTCCCTTTATACATATATATATATATATATACACATACACGTAGAGCTTTTTATGTTGTCTCAATGATATTCACGTTCAGTCACATAAGCTGGACTTCCTTCTGTGCGTGAATTCATCCAATTTCAAATTCACCATTAATGTGTTGGTGAGTTCTCTACCTGTTCTTGTCTCTCTAACCAGCGGTCCACCATGGGGTGATTGGCACTGAGCGACGACCGGGCCGTCTCCCTCTGGAATTCTCTCTGATTGGCCCACGTCCCTGCGTCCCGCGGCAGACTGCGATACGTGTCCATGCCTTTACCCTGCACACACATGAAAACAAAAGTGTTTGAGCCTGATGCTGTTGTCAAATTTTCCACCTGAGCTAATCTGAATTGCGAATATGTTTAGTTGTCATTTTTTTTATTGGTGGGGAAATCTAAAGAATTTAGATTTAAAAATGTATAAGTTGCTGATTCGGACAAAAAGTAATCTCAAAGCTGAGTTTTCTTTCCGTGATGTTAGCGCCTTCTACCTTCCTCTCCAGGCTGTTGGTGCCGGACGTGTGTCGAGCTTTCAAGAAGCCAGCGGTGGTGGACCAGCGGGTCGGGTTCTTCCTCGATGGTGGATCTTCCGTTTGGACCCGTACCTCACTGCTGGTGAACGGCCCGTTGATGGTCAGCAGGGCGGGGTCGCTGCTGCGCCGGACGTGGAGCGGCATATCTGAGAGAAAGGAAAATTAAAACTATATCATTATGGATGAAAAGCGAAAGTTGTGCATAAGAAATCTGCTTTCTCTTTCTCTGGGCTCAACATTTTATCACTGCATGATTTCTTTTATTTGTCTGAAGGAAAGTGCCATGTTGCTGAAGCTGATAAGACACACGACAGAGATTTAATATTATGTTTGTGGATGATCGATGGGAATGCGCTCCAAATAATTTTGTTCCTCAAACAATGTGGGCTAATAAAGGCAGTTAATCATCGAGATTCCATTATCGTCCCATTGTGAATTAATCACATTTATCACTGAAGGTCTAATCAGGCAGCTCCACTTTCAACTTCGCTGTCGGAGCATCTCGTCATATCGCAGACTGTGTGGGAACAACAACACCGGGAAGAGCCTGTTGAGAAACACCAGCGCGAGTGGACGCCTTCCATTAAAACTCTTCACTCAGTGTAAAAGTCGCCGTGCGTGGGAAGTGGGCCGAGGTCCAAATGACGACTCTGGCGAGGGCAACGCACGCAAAACACCACAGCCTGCACTCGTACACAAGACACACACACACACAAACACACACACA